CTGCTCCTGAGATAACACAGATCTATTCACAAGGGCTCTGGCTTTATGAACTAATCACTTCTTATTAGGCTCTACCTCCCAACCCTGTTGCCAGCACATGAACTTTTGGGAGATACATTCAAACCCAACAGGCACCATATGGTAGACTCCTTTTGCTGCCATCCTATTTCCCCCAGTATGGTTAACCACATAAAGCTGGTAGAAGAAAGGAGAAAAACGTGGGATTCCTTGTTATCCACTTACTCTTCTACCTCATACCTGAAAAAGGGCCACATATATGTACTCTGTTAGCTCCAAAGCAGACAATTCCCTAGTATTTTCTACTACTGTCATGACATATTAAAGGACTGACTCATAATTTCCCCATCCTATTTTCTATAATACAGCCATCAATTATAATTCTCTTATCATTTTCATTAAAAGATGACATTTATTACACAGTAATCACCATCATCACCATAACACAAATAAATGTTTTTCAAAGTGTAGTATGATACCTGCATAAGAATTACCTAAGGGTTTGGAAAAAGGGAGATTCCTGGACTTTGCCTTAGAGAAAATGAGTATGAGTATGGGATGGAAAGGAGCAGGGATTAGGGAATGTGAATTTGAAACAAGAAAACAATCACCCCAGGTAGTATTTCTGAGCTCACTGTATTTGAGAATAGATGAATAAAACAGACCTTGATTTATCATTATACTGTTGAGCCCCCAAAAGTATGCCAAACCCTATACTAGATAATATAGGATATACAGAAGTATATCTTGTTGGAAATAGTCTATGGCTTCACAGTATTTTCAATTTATTTATTTATTTTTTGCAGTTTCTGGCTGGGGCTGGGTTTGAACTTGCAACCTCCAGCATATGGGGCCTGCGCCCTACTCCTTGAGCCACAGGCGCAGCCCATATTTTCAATTTAGTTAGAATGAAAAACTTCATAGACAGAACAATTAGAAAACAATGCTAAACTTTGGAGTTTAGTTTGGTTTCCAAACTTTAGACCAAGTATCTCTAGCTTTAAAATGTTAAAGTATGCACTCCCATATGAATACTGATTTATAAATTACATATGAATTACTTTTTAGTAGATTGTACACATTATAAATAATATTAAAAGATTTTAAAATCTTGGAAATACATTAAATTCTGATGGTACGAACTTTTCAGTGACTAGTAAAACATTATTAATGTTATACAATATAAATAAATGTTTCTTGATTTTTAAATCTGAACTAAAGGACTGATGATAACCAGTTTATGTTGCTATTTGACTTCAAAGACTGCCACAGCTAAAGAAAATACTTCACACAAATGGAAGCTGTGGATCCTCAGTTGTAGTTATTTAATTATGATGCTTATATTTCAATCTAGCCAAAAATTACATAAAAATTTTGATAAAAAGTTTAGTTAGTAGATTTCTACCTTCCTTGATAGTAATCAGCTGTTCTTGAAAACTAAGAATTGTAACAAATAACTTCCAAAATCTAGTAAGACTTTTGAAAGAAAAGATTTATCAACAGAATATTATGTACATTTTAAAGTGTTCAGATACGAAAATTCAGAAATGACACGTGGTTTAGGATAAGTATGGTAATTTACATAAGTATGAAACATAAATATGGAAATTACATAAGTAGGGAAATTTCTGAACACCCATTTTCAAAAAGCTTATTCCGGTCTTCCCATAGCAGAGAGTAAGCAAGAAACTGTGAGGAGTCCCAAAAAATAAAATACATTTTTAACGAACACACACAGGCAAAATAAAAACAAACAAAAAAACAAATCAATAAACACCAGCTGACCGCTATCATCAAAGTCACGGTTACCCTGAGGTCAAATACTAAGCAGGTTAGACCTACCACTTCTTCAGTGATCCAGGATCCCTATAGGAGACTAAAGTGTCCTAGGGTCAGTAGGGGTTCCCAACAAGAGCAAACAAACAAACTCTTTCTGGAAGAAGACATCCTCAATTTACACCACCAAGTTGAACTCAGATAAAAACCCGGCAAATAGGAGTTTACCACCAAAGACCAGCACATACAAAAAGAAAACAACCACAGAGTACGAGAATTAGCAGGCACCAATAATAAAAATATAAACTCCCAGGGACTTCAGATAATGGCATTAACAGAAGGCAAATAACTATATAATAAACATTTAAGGAAATGAAGATGAAATTATAAAAATAAGCAAAGACCAAGATAATGTTAAAAATGTACAGTCCGGTTTGAGAGAAAAATCTTAGAACTTTTAGAAGTTAAAAATAGAATTGATGAAATTGAGAATACAACAGATAGAGGAAAGAATAGAGCATGTACCTAATCCTCCAATTTTGAGGGGACTGCTATAGGGACAGGTTTTGGAGGCTGAAAGAACCCAGCACACTCTAGATGTCACTATAAAAAAACACATAAGAGGAAAGCAAGAGAGGATAAGAAGGACAAAAACAACCATCACACAGAAAATAATTAACAAAATGGCAACGGTAAGTCCTTCCCTTTCACTAATTATATAATAGAGATATTAAATGTAAATGGATTAAAAGCTCCAATCAAAAGACACAGAGGGGCTGAATGGATTTAAAAAATAAGATCCAACTACATGCTAAGAAACTCACTTTAGATCTCAGGACACACACAGGCTGAAAGTTAAAAGGAAGGAATAAGATATTCCATATAAACAGTGGCCAAAAGAGAGCAAGGTGGACATTCTTAGATAAAACAGATTTTACCTCACAAAACTGTCACAAGAGACAAAGCAGGACATTATATAATTTCAGAGGGTCAAATCACGAGGAAGGTGTAACAATTATAAATATATATGCACCCAAAGCACATAAATATATGAAACAAACATTGATAGAACTGAAGACAGAAATAGACAGCAACACAACAAAAGCAGATTTCAATACCCTACATTCAATACTAGACAGAACATCCAGGCAGAACATCAGTAAGGAAACAAAGGACTTGAAAAGACTATAAACCAAGCGTCCAAATTACAGCCCATAGGCCACATGTGACCTGCCTAGAACACTTATCCAGCCCTCCAGGTGTTTTTGCCACCGCTGCCTGTCCTGCTTTAGCAGGCGACTGGGCCCAGGACCCGCAGTCTGGCCCTTCAACAGTCTGAGGGACATGAACTGGCCCCCTGTTTAAAAAGTTTGAGGACCCCTGCTATAGGCCAATGGCATCATTCTGAACCATAAGAAGCACCATGTGCATTCTTCTCAAGCACACACAGGACATTCTCTAGGACAGAGAATGTTTTGGCACAAAAATAAGTCTTAACAAACTTAAGATCAAAATCATACCAAGTATCTTTTCTGAACACAATGGAATGAAAGTAGAAAGTAATGGCAGAAGAAAAACTGGAAAATCTGCAAATATGTGGAAATTAACATACTTTTGAACAACCAATGGATCGAAGAACAAATCAAAGAGGAAATCAGAAAATATCTTAAGGCAAACAAAAATGAAAACACAACATATAAAACATGGGATGCAGCAAAAGCAGTAGAATTAAAGAATTTTACATGGACTTCATTAAAACCACATACATTAGAAAAGAACGATCTCAAATAACCTACCAACTAAGAGTCAGTTTTTTTAAAACATTAACAAAATTGACGTCTTTAGCCAGACTAAGAAAAAAATACTTTCAAACAAAATTAGTAATCAAAGAGGAGATATTACAACTGATGTCACAGAAATAGAAGGATCGTAAGACACCACCATGAATAATTACATGCCATCAAATTCGATAATATAGAAGAAATATCAGTTATTGAGACAACTAATTTTATATGTCAACTTTATTGGTCTAAGGGAAGCTCAGATAGCTGATAAAACATTATTGGGGAGGGGAATGTTTCCAGGAGAGATTAGATCTGTCAGTAGACTAAAAAAAGAACATGCCCTCATCAGCATGAGTGGGCATCATTCAATCCATTAAGTGCCATAGTAGAACAAAAAGTCAGAGAAAGGCCAAATTCTTTCTCTCCTCTTGAGCTAGGATATGTACCCTCTCCTGCTCCCAGACATCTGAGTTATTGGTTCTTAGGTCTTTGGACTTGGACTGAATTACGTCACTAGTTTTTCTGGTTCTCCAGTTTACAGATGGCATATTGTTGAATGTTCTGGCTTCCATAATTGCGTAAACCAGTTCCCACAATAAATCTCTTATATGTCTATACATAAGTCATGTATATATAGCTTACTGGCTTTTTTCCTCTGGAGAGCCCTAATAAACCTACTCAGACTGAAATATGAAGAAACAAAAAGTCTAAACAGAGCTATATAACTAGTAAGAAGATTGAATCAGTAACAAAAAATGACTTTACTGGTGAAGTCTACCAAACATTTAAAGAGTTAATGCCAATCCTTTTCAAACTCTTCCAAAAAATGGAAGAGGAGAGAATACTTTCTAACTCATTTTATGAGGCTAGGATGATCCTTGTTTCAAAGTTAGAAAAAGTTACTGCAAGAAAAGAAAACTACAGGCCATATCCCTAATAAATACATACATACATAGATATCTCTCTCTCTCTATATATATATATATACACACATACATATATATATCCTAAAAAAAAAAAACCCTACCAACTCAAGTTCAACAGCATATTAAAAAGATCACATACATGACCAAATGAGATTTATCCTTGGAATAAAAGGATGGTTCACATACAAAAATCAATCAATGTGATATACCATATTAATAAAAGCAACATAAAAATCACATGGTCATCTCAATAGATAAGAAAAAAGCCTTTGACAAAATTCTACACCCTTTCATGTTTAAAAACACTCAACAAAATAAAAAATAGATGAAAATTACATCAACATATTAGTAAAGACCACATATAAAAAAGCCACAGCTATCATCATATACATTGGTAGAAAAGCAAAGCTTGATCAGGAACAAGGAAAGGATGCCCATTCTTGCCACTACTATTCAGCCAAGTAGGAGATGTCCAAGGGAGCAATTAGACAAAAAGGAAAAGAAAAAAAGAAAAGACCAACCTGATGCCCTATCCCCGCATCCACTTCCCTCTGGCCACATATGCCCCTGTAATCTCTGCTGAGAAAGCCTATCACAAACAGCTTACTGTAGCAGAGATCACCAATGCTTGCTTTGAGCCAGCTAACCAGATGGTGAAATACCCTAGCCACAGTAAATACATGGCTTGCTGCCTGTTATACTGTGGTGATATGGTCCCCCAAAATGTCAATGCTGCCATTGCCACCATCAAGACCAAGCATACTATCCAGTTTGTGAATTGGTGTCCCACTGGCTTCAAGGTTGGCATCAATTCTCAGCCTCTCACTGTGGTACCTGGTGGCAACCTGGCCAAGGTACAGAGAGCTGTGTGCATGCTGAGCAACACCATAGCTGTTGCTGCGGCCTGGGCTTGCCTGGACCACAAGTTTGACCTGATGTACGCCAAGCGTGCCTTTGTTCACTGGTACATGGGTGAAGGGATGGAGAAAGGAAAGTTTTCTGAGGCCGTGAGGACATGGCTGCCCTTGAGAAGGATTATGAGGAGGTTAGAGCCGATAGTGCTGATGGGGAAGATGAGGGTGAGGAGTATCAACCTGTCTACTACAACTTTACACTGTGTTGTCATGAGACTGTCTTATTTCTGTTCTGTAAAACTGTCCATTGTAGTAGTCCTAAAGTGTTAATAAAGTGTTAATAAAAGTGATATTTTAGATGCCAATAAGTAAATAAATAAAAAGGTATTCAAATCAGAAATAAATAAAATTGTCCCTGTTTATAGATGAGATGAACTTGTATATATAAAACCCTAACTAAGTCACACAAACAAAAAACTATTAGAACTACAAAATTCAACAAAGTTTCAGAATATAAAATCAACTAGAAAAATTGGTTGCATTTCTATACACTAACAAAGAACTATCCAAAAAGGAATTAAAAACACAAGCCCATTTATAATAACATCAAAAAGGATAGAAGACTTAAGAATGAACTTTACCAAGGAGATGAAAGACTGTTATACTAAAACCTAAAAGTCTTGCTGAAAGAAAGATGAAAGATTTGTGTCGTTAAAGATGACACAAATAAATGGAAAGACACCTTGTATTCATGAATTGGAAGAACACTGTTAAAGTGTCTACAAAGCAATCTACAGCTTCAATGCAATCCCTACCAAAATCCAAATGCCATATTTTACAGAAACAACTAAAATCCTAAAATTTATATGGAACCACAAATGACCCTGAATAATCTTGAGAAACAAGAACAAAGCTGGAGGCCTCATGTTTTCTGACTTCAAAACATATTACAAAAATATGGTAATCAAAAGAGTATGGGACTGGCATAAAGACAGATGTATAGACCAATGGAACCAAACAGAAATCTCAGAAATAAATCCACACATATACAATTAAATGATCTTCCACAGGGTGCCAAGAACACACAATGGTGACAGTCTTTTCAACAAATGGTGCTGGGAAAACTGGATATATACACACAAAAAAAATGAAATTGAACCTTCATTTTATATTATACACAAAAATAATCTCAAAATGGATTAAAAATTTACATGTAAGACCTCAATTATAAAATTTATAAAAGAAAACAAGGGAAAAGCTTCTTGACATTGGTCTTGGCAAAGATTTCTTGCATATGGTACCAAAAGCACAAGCAACAAAAGCTTATTAGATAAGTAGGACTGTATCAAATAAAAAGCCTCTGCACAGCAAGAAAAGAATCAACAGGGTGAAAAAGTACACTATAGAATGGGAGAAAATATATGTAAACCATGTATCTAATTAGGAGTTAAAATCCAAAATATACAAGACCATAGTCTTGTATTGACTATACAATTCAATAGTAAATAAATAAATAAATAATTTGATTATAAAAATGTGCAAAGGTCTTGAATAGATATTACTCCAAAGAAAACATATAAAAGGCCATCAGGCATATAAAAAGGTGGTCAATATCACTAATCATTTAGGGAAATGCGAATCAAAAACTACAATGAGATACCTCTTCGCCTTCACTAGGATGGCTACCATCAAAAAATAAAAATAAAGAAAAAAATAAAAAAGAATACATGCAGGCAAGAATGTGGACAAATGTGAACCCTTGTACATTGTTGATGGGAATGTAAAACAGTGTAGCTGCTTTGAAAAAAGGGAGCTTCTCTAAAAATTAAAAATAGAACTACCATTTGTCCCAACAGAACTATCACATAACCTAAATATAGAACTAACGTCTGGATTAACAAACTGTGGTATATGTACACCATGGAATACTATGCAGCCATAAAGAAAGATGGAGATTTTACGTGCTTCATGTTCACATGGATGGAGCTGGAAAATGTTCTTCTAAGCAAAGTATCACAAGAATGGAAGAAAAAGTATCCAATGTACACACTCCTTTATGAAACTAATTTATACCTTTTATGTGTAAGCTATAACCTAATAACAGCCTAAGAATACAGGGAGGGAGAGGGGAGGAGGGAATGGGTGGAGGGAGGGGGATTGGAGGGATCACTTCTGAGGTTTATCTTACAAGGGTACAAGTGAATCTTTCTAAGAGTAGAATGTGAACGTTTTAAAATAATAACTAAGAAAATGACACGAAGGCTATGTTAACCAGTTTGATGGAAGTGTTTTGGATTGTGTGTGAAAACCCCACACTATACCCCAGAAGTGCATTAATGTACATAGTTACCATTCAATTAAAAAAAGAAAAAAAGAACTTAACATCTGATCAACTTGAGAGTATTTACCAAAAAAAATTCAAAAAAACCCCCCAAAACTTGAAATCAGGATCGCAAGGAGATATCTGCAACATCATGTTTACTGTAGCACTGTTTAAAATAAACAAAACTAGGAACAACCCAAATGTCTACCAATAGATGAAATAATAAACAAAACGTGACACAGACATACAATGAGGTATCGGAGTATTATCTGGCCATAAAAAAGAAGCAAATCCTGTTATATGCTACAACATACATGAACTTTAAGGACATTATGCTAAAATGAAGTAAGCCAGACACAGAAAGATACACACTGCACAATTCTACTTACATAAGTTATCTAAAGTAATCCAACTCATCAAAGCAGACAGTAAGAAGGGTGGTCACCAGGGTTTAGACAGAAAGAGAAATGGGGAATTGCTATTTAATGGGTACAAAGTTTCAGTAATATAAGATGAAAAATCTCTAGAGATCTGCTATACAACACTGTGCGTACAGGTGGAACTGGAGATTTATGTTAAGTGTAAGCCAAGCATAGAAAGACAAATATTGTATGTTCTCACTTACAAATGGAAACTAAAATTGTGGATCCCATGAAGTTGGTGGTTACCAGAGGCTGGGAAGATAAGGGTGAGGGGAGGATGAAGAGGGGCTGATTAATGGGCACAAATACATATACATTTAGACAGAAGAAATAGGATCTGGTATTTAATGGACAGCTAGGATGGCTGTAGGTTTATTCATTTATCATTTATTAATTTATCACACATTTTAAAATATCTTGAAGAGAATAGTTTGAATGTTCCTAGCATAAAGATATATACAATGAAACCTCCATATTGACCACAGCCTTACATTAACTACCTCCTTCAGATGACCTAATTTTCATAGACCAGATATGCACCCTATGTTGATCACCTCCATATGTTGACCAGTTTGTTACAGTCCCTTAGGTCAACATACAGAGGTTCTACTGTATTTAAGGTGACAGATATCCCAATTGCTCTGAGATTATATGGATGTATTATCATATGTATGCACATCTGTGTCAATGAAAATAAATAATAAAATAATGAAAAAACAAGATGGCCACCTCACCCCCATTAAAATCTCTTCCTAATTCATCCCCCCCAAAATACTGTACTGTGTACTTAAAAACTTGTTAAAAGGGCAGATCTCATGTTGGGTGATTTTTAACACAATAAAAAAATCAACAGATGAGTTAGCAGGGTTAAATATAGTTGAAGAAAGATAGATCTAAACATACCATTAATACGAGTACATACCGTAACTGTAGTACAGATCATACTACAGATTATAGTATAGAGAATGAAATAAGAGGAAAAAATTAATGACAGGTTAAAACATATGGAGGACAGAATGGGAAATTTTAGCATATCTAATAAGAGTGACAGAAACATTGGAGAGAACAAAGGTAAGGTAATTCAAAACAATAATGGATGGTGCATTTCCAGAATGGAAATTTCCAGAATAGGAATCCACAGAAGACAGAAGACAGACAAAAAAGATGACCTACCAACTGGCAGATGACATCTGAACAGAAACAATGTGAAATAAGTCAACAGTGGACTACCAGCTTCTGAGTGATCAAAGAAATTAAAACTATCAACCTAGAGTTATAGACTGAACAAAGCCATGTTTTAATAATAAAGTGGGGGGGGGGGCACACTGGCCTGTAATTCTAGCACTCTGAGAGGCCAAGGCAGGTGGATCACCTGAACTCAGGAGTTCGAGACCAGCCTGATCAAGAGTGAAACCCTGTCTCTACTAACAAGAGAAAAACCAGTAGTCCCAGCTACTCAGGAGGCTGAGGCAGAAGAATCACTTGAACCCAGGAGTTTGAGGTTTCTGTGAGCTACAGTAGTGCTATGGCACTCTACCAAGAGTGACAGAGTGAAACTCTGTCTCAAAAAAAAAACCAAGAATAAAGGCAAAATACATTTTCAGGCTTAAGAAAGTTTATGACTCCAAGGTGGGTGGATTACTTGAGCTCAAGAGTTCGAAACCAGCCTGAGCAAGAGCCAGGCCTCAACTCAAAAAAAAAAAAACCAGCTGGGCATTGCGGCGGGTGCCTGTAGTCCCAGCTACTCCAGAGACTGAGGCAAGAGAATCACTTAAGCCCAAGATTTTGAGGTTGCTGTGAGCTATAAGGTCATAGCACTCTACCGAAGGTAACAAAATAAAACTCTGCCTCAGAAAGGGAAAATTAAAAAAGGAAAGCAAGTTATGACTAGCAATCCTTCACACACACACACAAATTTCTAAGGTTATTCACCAGGAAAAGAAAAAATGGCCCCATATGAAATTCTGAGATAAAAGAAATAAAAATAATAATTTAAATATTATGAGGCTAATCTAAACAACCTGTGCTTTTTTAAAAAATGGCTTAATAATAGCATGTAAGTCAGAAGTGAAATGATAAACACTGAAGATATTTCTTCTCTTGACAGACTGCTGGTACCCTCACTGGTGGGGACTATATACATATCCCAGTGTTCAGCTACAGTAGACAGCAAGGTTGGCTATGATCATTTTAGAAGTCTTATTAAAACCATGAGCCAGGCCATAAATGATTCATAACTTTGGTATGAAGGGACAAAGGCAGGGCACTCCAGACAGAGGAAACAGTAAAGGCTTAGAAGTAAAGATAAGGATGGCATACCCTGTTCTTCCTCTATTAATGAAGTATTTCATTTCATATGTTCTTCTAAAATATCTAAGATAAAAACAATGCAAACAAAAAAAATCACCTCCTAGAAGCAATAGCATGAGTACACTGAAAGATGTCAGAGGTTTATTTGGCGGGCCACTTAATTTTCTCTCTGAAGGCTTTATTTAGCCTCTCAGGTTATTATATGTAATATTTACACTTAACCAATGTCACTAATATATTTTGACAATAAATGAAAAAATTCAAAGGAAATATTACAACACTGATCTCTTAGAACTTTTTCTAG